TAAAAAATTCATTTCACATAAACAATTTTTTAGCTATTTTTTATATTCACTGATTTCAAAAATCATTTTACAGCGTTTATAAAATATTTCAAAATAACGTGCAACGCACATTTAGCTGTGATCAGTATATCTAAAATGAAGCAAAAGTGTAGAACTGAGAATATTCCCTGCACTTTCTTGATTGAATATCGATTTTTTTTTTCTATTTTGGGATTTAGTTGAACATTTCCATACTGTGTATATTGCACTACTTGTATATGTGATTGTGCTTTCTCATTTCTTCGAGCTGGTTCATGTAATACACTTCATGAAAAAATAAATGAACTGCTGCATATTGTTTGTGCCATAGGAACTTCATAATCGATTGTTGGCTTTGTGATTTTGCTACTTTACCGCATAAGTTTGTTATAAGTTACTTTAATCCACACTTCTTTTAGGGTTTAAATTGTGAAAGTCCTTTGAGTGGATGGGTAATAGTGGCAAAACTGTTTTGTTACACTTATATCATGGTTGACAGTTTTATATATACTCTTTAACACGTCGCGCAGTTTTTAAATTGATTTAACAACACTTAATGGCCTCGATTTTTACACATCAAAGGGTGTCAAACTAGTTGTAGCTTAATTCGTGGCAAAAAAATGGTGCGACGAGAATGGGGTAAAAAGAGGTGGGGAAGAAGACGGGTGACGGTGTCGCAGCAGGCGATGGCTAATGTGGAGGTGGGATTTCTGAATTTTGGTTATGTTTGTGTTTGGGAGGCAAATTTCTCTTTCTCTTTTTCATTTTTATTTTACACTTAATTATTTTAATTGTGTTATTTGAAATTTTTTTTGTAAATTTACCACTGTAACCTTTTAAAATTAGTCAAACGGTGGCCAACGTCAAATTTTTTGTTCAACTAACTATCAAACGAACGAAATTTGCCCATATGTCATTTCCCTATAATGAAATGAAAAGTTTGAGACCGTGGGTGATACAAACGAAAATTTTAGTTAAAGTTCGGACAAAAATGAAAGGTTTATGACTGCAACTGTAATTATCCTTAAAATCAATTAGGATTGAAAGTATATTCTTAAAATTAACATATTCTAATCCCATCCTCCAATATACATAGCTTCTGCATACATCAAAACTCAAAATGCTCCACAACCATAGCCGTACAAATATCCGCTAGCAAACCCCACCCCGAACTTCACGACCTTAAATGTATTTGCAGTGGCAAATTAACACTAATATGGTAGAAAATTTTGCAACAAAAGCTTTGTGAAAGCAAATGGTATGTAGTTGCATGGGCGAATCCAGAAATGTGTTGATTTGAATATAAATTTTAAAAGTGAATTAAAATTTTTGAGCTAATTTTAAGAATTAAAGAAGATAAAAATTGTTTACCTTTTCAGAAGCAGCACAAGCTCCCCACACATTTTCAATCCAACAGAAAGTAGCAAGCAACAGCATCACCCAAAGGATCAGAGCTTCGATGGCAGTGGTAGTGGCCATAGTCGTAGCCTCATCTCATGTTCTCTTCAAACCTCACAAAAAATGTCAAAGAATAATCTAAAGAAACTTAAACCTTATTTAGGCCGTGTCTGTTCCGGATTTTCCATAGATTAAAATCAGAAAAATGACCGTTAGTGAGGCCCGCGTGAGAGAGTGGCAGTCAATTATTGCGGCCCAACGATAAGAATTCTGATGAAAATCCTGCCAAAAAGTTTCTCCACACAAGGTGTTAATTGTAATGTCCAATCTTGTTTGTTAGGGATAAATCCAGCGTCGGTTAAATATCGAAATATAGACCAACATATAAGGGATTGAAGTCAAAGAATAATCTAAAGAAACTTAAACCTTATTTAGGTTGTGTCTGTTCCGGATTTTCCATAGATTAAAATCAGAAAAATGAACGTTAGTGGGGCCCGCGTGAGAGAGTGGCAGTCAATTATTGCGGCCCAATGATAAGAATTCTGATGAAAATCCTGCCAAAAAGTTTCTCCAGACAAGGTGTTAATTGTAATGTCCAATCTTGTTTGTTAGGGATAAATCCAGCGTCAGTTAAATATCGAAATATAGACCAACATATAAGGGATTGAATTATCCCTCTTTAATAAGGCCGACTTTTTAAAATGGAACATCGATCTTAATATTATCTAGTATTGTGTGTCCAACATATGTAGCATGACAAATATTTGGAACTTGTTAAGTCACTCAAACTCGAACTTGAAACAACAATAAAAACGAAGTTTTGGGGTTTAGAATGATGTCTTGTTTTTTCAAGAAATGTTTGACTGACTCTTAAATTGGTGAGAATCATTGACATTTTAGCCTTGGCTAACAAATTTTGTGACTATAAATATTACGGTAGTCGACCTTGGAAAGTAACTTCAAGTTGTCGACTTTAGTGAATATTAGTAATTACATTTATATTGTGGTGGTCCCAACCCGGTCAACCTTGGCTGGCAAATTTTGTGACTATAACTACTATGGTAGCGACCTTGGAGATTAACTTCAAGTTGTTGAGACTCTAGTCAATATTAATAGGT